AACGGGCTGTGGCACCGGTACTGCAGGAACTGGAACTGCAGCTATTGAAATAGAAATATTTTAGTTTGATTAAATGCATAATGTATGGTAGATATGCACGATGATATTTGTGATTAATGTTTTTAGAATTGTCATCCTTTAAGTTACAACTTTGTGACGAGGATTTCGCAATTAATGAGGATGCGTTAATCTTGAATCGGATGAAGTTTTCGATTAATATCGAAGAAAAAGATGGTGTTATAGTCCTTTACTGCTAAGCTGGCTCATTCGTGATTTTCATATATTATAATAAAGATACCTAGAAGTAAATATAAATATAGAGATATATAATATATAATAATAAAAATAATAAACTTAAAAATGAAAGTTTTTCGTTTCCTACCGTAGAAATAAATATTTATAAATTAAAAAAATTAAAAATCATTTATTGTTTACTTCCATTCGAAAAAATAAATATCAAAGAAAAATAACACAGGGTAACTAAAGAGAATCAAAAAAGAAAATTATTTAGAATATTATTTAGAAAATTTCTTTCTTTCTCATCAAGTCCTTTGAAATAAGAACATTAAATCTAATTTATATTCCATATCTAAATTCAATTATTCAAAAACATGTTCTTAACTATAAATAGCAATAGTAACGATTCTTTCTTTCATAAACTCGAATTTTTACTATTACTTAAAAGAATATTTAAATTTCTCTTCGATGATACACTTTCAAGATAATATTTCACTTATAACTCTCAACTTTTTCAACAAATTCATCGAGCTAAGAAACATAGTATTTTTCGTTTTCATCTTTTAATCCTTTAATCTGTGAAATAAAAATATATTATTCTGATCATTAATGACGAAATATGATGATATAAAATAGTCTATCCTGTGTTCAACAAATTTTATCATTTTTAATATTTTTATTATGTGTTATAAAATAAAATATATAAATTAAAAAATATACTAACGAGCTGGATGCAATACAGCAGGTGGAGGAGCAACTGGTGCTATTGCAGATTCCAAATGTCCACTTAGATCGGGAGCAGAAGGTTCAAAGATAGCTGGTTCAGGAGGATGATATCCAGGCTCGGATAAACTATATTCTAAATTTGTAAGTCCTCTTTTATCATGTTTCTTTAATAATTTATTGTTAATCTTTTCATGTTTTTCGACAGTAATTGCTGTACTGACTACCAGGAATAATGGAAGAATCTGCAAATAAATCGAGTAATTGAATAAATATAAATACTGATGAGAAATATAAATATATGAGAAATATAAATATTATTTGATGCAATTTTTATAAAAAAATTAATTCATACAATTTTTCAAAAAAAATTTTTTAATATAAGATTATTAAAAAAAGAAATAAAAATTAATAAATAATTCAAATTTCATATAATCATATTATTACAAAAATAATATAAGTTTTTCTTCTTTTTTTTTTTCATTTAAAAATAAACATCACTTAAATTGCATAGTTATTTATATTCACAAAAGGAAATATATATATTTAATTAATCAATAAGTTTATAATAACTTATAAATTGAATAAGTATCAAGAAAAATAAATAAATTATAAATTAAAACTTTATTGCCAATAAAAGAAAATTGTTCAAATGTTCATTAAACAATTTTATATATATATCTTCAATAGTTCTCCATTCCTTCGATCACTGATTTATAATTAATTTAATCACAACTTTAAAAACACTATTAAAAACAAACAATGTAACCATTACAAAAGGGAAAGAATTAAACTAAACGAAACAAAAACGACACGAATATAACATTAAAGATGATGAAGATTTAAAAAAATAGAACCAGCGGAACAATACCAAAATAATCTTCATAATTGATCCTTGGAAGACTCCCTAAGTCTAAGCTGACAACTACGATGCCGAAGAAAAACTGCTCGCTATCGTGACCCCCATAAGTATTTATAGGGCATCCACTGGTGACACATCACACTAGGAAGAAGTATCGTCGTCATCAATGAACTTTCGCTGTTACCTATCCTGGGTGATGGCCAAATATTGGTCGTGACCGCTTTTCTTTCGTATACCTAACTAGCACGACTATGTGCATAAGAGAACAAGAAGGGTTATTCGTCCATTCAAATAGAACGATCGTATGATAGTACTTCACGTGATAGTACTTATCGTCTTCGAGATCGTTCGGATAGACAACCTATGGCCAAGTGAAAATTGTCTACGTGAAGATTCAAATTAATAAGAACAGCGATGCGCCTGATCGTGACACGATTCTATAGCAACCTGGTTATGCGATTGAATACTTTTTTTTTTACATCCTGACGGAAATGTTGTTGCAACTTTAGCACGAGAATATTAATAATAGTTTGTCGTAAGCGTGAAATGTGCGTTAGTAAATAATGTTGGATCAAAATGACTCGATAATTGTCATTAATATTCTTGGTGATTTATTCTTCATCGATTTTAAAATAAATTAATTCAAACAATCGAATCGCTATCATTTGTTTCAATTTTTTCAAATCGATGCAAATTCGAAAGAAAAGTCGCTTATTGATCGTGACATTCAATTATTTTGCAAAGAAAAAGTATTACTTGTTACTTGAAGAAGAATCTGCAAGCGATTAGATTTTATTTATCTGTAATATATAAATCGTTTTGATGTTATTTAACTGATGATCATCATTGGAAGAGACAATATTGTAAAAGAACAATATTGATTACATATAAAATTGTTATCTTTCTTCTTTTATATTGATTACATATAAAACAAAGTCATTGAAATTAATATCTTAAAGAATTGAATGGAAATGAATTAAAAATTAATTAAAGCCATCAAACTTGACGATCAACTATTTCGTCATTATAGACATTGGATTGATACACACGTACAATCATGTTATGCGTTCACTAGCATTTATAACAATGAATAATGGATGGCCGGTATTAGAAGTAGCTCGTACGTATTAGAAAATGAAAGTTAAGAAAGTTCGCGGATGCGGCCAATACGGAAACAAACTATCACCTCTGGTGCAAGAAACGGTCCGGTTCATTTTCTTGATCTTGTTGGTCGAGTAAAATCAATATCTCCGTGTTACAGAAACAGAAAAATGTTATGCATACAACAGGTCTGAATCGTGATATGAATCCTGATTTATTCTATTCGTGGAATCCTTCTACATATTCTCAAGAATGTCAAGAATGTCGAAACAATTTCGTGGAAAATATCTTAGAACGATTTGAATTGAAATTTGAATTGAAATTAAAGTTGAAATATTTTTTTCAGTTTTTATAGTTGTTAATCAAATTGCTAAACTAATTTGAAATACTTTATTAATGTAAATCTCTTTATTCTTTTATTTTAAGATTTTCGTTGTTGTAAAATTGATAGTTAATTTTAAAAAAATAATATTATATATGATTTTATATGATTTTAAAATAGCATTCGTAACAATTTATTTTTTCAAGATTTATTTTTCTTAAATATAATTTATACATATATATGCACTTATATCCATTTGCCATTTCATTATGGCAATTTCATTTTGCCACTTATTGCTTCAAATTGGTAATTATTATTCCTTTTACGCTTAATTTCGCTCTACATGCTCAGAACAATAAAATAATTAAAATAGCACGAATGACTATGAAATAATATATCATGAAGCGATAAACCTATATTTAATCGACTAATTAATTATAATGATAAGAATATTATCTATTATATCTATTATCTATTATATAATTATTATATTATATACGATATTAAAATACTCTTTTATGTTATAAATGATTAATGAAAAAAATCACTATTACAATTATTTTTTCAGTTTTTAAATAAAAAAAATTAAAAAAAAAGACAAAAAAGAAAAAATAAAGTATAAAGAAAGATAAATAAAGAATGACAATAGAAAAAAAGAGAAGATACAAGAAAACAAAATTGAAATCCTATTCAATAAAATATTATTCATTTTCAAGCATTGGTATATTATTATCTTCTAAATTCAAAATTTAATCACTTTAAACGATGTTAATAAAATTTGTCACAACATTATATAAATTCAAATTAAAAATTCAAGAAGATATTACAGTTGAAGATATCAAATATGGCATAAATAAGATTCATTACAATTCTTGACTACTTTCTTCAGCGGAAATACAAAACCTGTCAATTAACAAGGTCGAGTTCCTGATCACATCAAACACGGGAACCTGACTTGGACCACTAGGATCAATCGATCTGTTTATCTCGATAGACGAGAAATATATAAAGCTAACGTTTTCTCGATTCATTGAACAGTTTCTTCTCGACAAGACTACAATGTATATGATCTCGGTAAGAATAATTAACAAGTATTATTAATGACGAAAAATTATTTCTTTCGATCTTCTTTCGGACTAATTCTTTCTCTGGAAAAGTTTTCTTAGTATGTATTGTATGTCTTCTTTCTTTTTATTATAACGTATGAGTTAGATGAACTGTTATTTTTTTCTCATTATTGTAAAATGACGTTTAAATATTACTGTAAAAAAAACTTCAGATTACTATTAGAAATCATAAATTTATCTCTATCATTTTATTTTATTAAATATCAATAATTTTTATTCATTTGCACTTTCATTATATAATCAATAATTCAATTAAAAAAAAAAGAAATATTTCTTATATTTGTGTATTAAAGTGTCTTTAATAATAAAAATTTTTTAACAATAACTCGTTATATTCAATAATTCTTTGATCATTTTTGAATCTCACTAAGAAATCTGCAATATTGCTAAATAGAATTTTATCATAATTTTATAAACATTAAATTTCAGTTGTTCTTAATATTTTTCTGTGGTTACGCCTTAACTGCAGAAACAAACGAAACAAAACAAAGTAAACGAGGAATACCAGAATCTAATGGATGGATTGGAATACCAAATCCTTATGGATATGGCCATGGACAACCGTGGCTGGGTGGTCCAATTTGGAAAGGATTAAAATATCCTCCTTTTGATTTAGCTCATGGAGGGTAAAAATAAATTTTTAAATTCATTATTTTTAAATTAATATTATATCTTAATATTTTTATTTTATTTTATTAATATTTTTATCTTATTTTAATTTTAAATATATCTAAATATACCTAAGTAAATATATCTATATACTTATCATATTATAAATAAATAAATAATGTTAAATTTTTAAAAATAATGATACTTATAATATTTTATAGATTACATGGTGGATTTTCATATGGAAAAGCTTTTCCTATATCAGTCGGAAGAACCGAATTATTAAAGGTTCCAATATATATAACAAAACATGTAGTTCTGGAGAAACCAGTTCCTGTTCCAGAGCCAGTTTACATCGAAAAACCATATCATGTGCCTGTCGAGAAGGTGATCCCAGTTCCGGTCGAAAAGATCATTCATAAACCAGTACCAGTTCCTATTCCGATACCCGAGGTAAAAAATATTTTAAAATTTTCTCTTATAACAAATATTCCAATTTATTGTTCAAATGAAATTAATAAATTAAGAATGAATATTAGATTACTTAAAATTAATAATTATTTTGGAAAAACGATCCTTTAAGAATTAAAGATATGGTGTTACCTTAGGAAAAAGTATGATTATGTACATAATCATTAAGGTTAACTTTTACAATTCTTCTTAAATACGACATATTCGATCTAATCACTTTCATTCAAATTGTGGATGTTTTCTTACAAACTACTAATTAATCGAATTTAATTGCTTTTTAGGCAGTTCCAGTTCCAGTGGAACGTCCTATCCCAATACCGGTGAAACATCCTGTTGCAGTTCCAGTACAACAACCGTATCCAGTTCCGGTAAAACAAGTATATCCAATACCGGTTCCGGTTCCAGTTCCGATTCCGGTCCAACCATCGCCAATTCCGTTCCTTGGTGCAGGCGCGATTGGTGCAGGAGCATATGCCGCTCGATATGGTTATAACAGTGGACACATTTATCCCGCGTTGCATGGCCATTCACTACCCGTACATTTCGGTCATAGTTTTGGCCTCGGTTTCGGACATGGTTTCGGCCACCACGGTTTTAGTCACGAATACGGTCACGGCCACGGTTACGGCTATCAACCTCTTCCGTACGCTCACGACTACGGTCATGGACACGAACATAAGAAACGAAGTAAGAATTGAAAGAATATATCTCGAAAGATATAATCTTCGATAATATCGTTTGAACATTCGAGTGAATTGCAATAAATATTGAGATTCGATTGTTAGAAAATTGAAATACTGTACAATTCACTTGAAAATCTAATTTGAGAATTTAGAAAATAAATATTAAATATTAAATAAATTATCTTTGATTTGTTAAATTGACGAAATTTTTATGTAAGTATTTCTAAGGAGAAACATTTCTTCGTAATATATTATAGCTTGATATTTAATTTGGTAATAAATAGTTTGCAAATATTGTTAAATAGTTAAAATAATTATAATTATTAAAAAAGTTAAATATTTTTATTATAATTAAAAAGGAATATTTAGAACTTACCGTTATTTATTACGATTCTGTTTTTCGTATATATATATATATATATATATATATACACACACATATATACATAACGTTAAAATAAAGATATTAAAAATAATAATTTTGTACATTAATTTTACTTGTTATTTTTTTATAAATGCAAATCAAGTATAAATATATACATATTAAAAATATTTTCATTTTTCATATTTATTCTAATAAATCTCAGATCTTATATCTCTATGTATATCTGTGTACAGTTATATACATGCGTTATTTCTATGACAGTGTTTCTCAACTTCACGTTTTGTATATGAAAGACAATTAATAAATGTATTTCGCATTTTGACACAATACAATATATTTTATTAAATAGAAAATGAATTATATTATGTAAATTATAATAATTTTTAATGTATATAGTTAAGTATTTTAAGTAATCTTCTCTTATCTTAGATAAATTCCATGGAATATATAGAAGTTTATAATGGAGAAGTTGAGAAATACTTTTCGTGTCACCATCGGCAGGTCATCGGTTGGACGCGCACCGAGACGTCCTGTCAATTTTGTGTAATCAGAAAACAGCTGATCAAAGTTATTCGAATGTGAATAATGAAAACTTAGAGAATTACGAATTTCGTGGAATTTCGAAAATTGAATGAAGAATTTCTCTTGTAATAAATATTTTTTTTGCTCATCTTCTAATACGTCTTTAAAGAATTCCACGCAGATACAAATCGATGTTTGCACTACAAAGAGCGTCATAAGGAGGGGCTACGTTAAATGTCCACATGTAAGTACATTTTGTTTATCTGATCATTACCAAGATATGTTCAAAAATTTATTTTGATTATTATTTACTTATGATGAATGCTATGAATGCAAAAGATGCGGCGAATAAGAAAAAGTGAGGTTATGTTCCCTCTTTGAGAACATTCCATGTAAACAATTTGTAATCAAAAGTAATATTTTATCTTTTGTGTTACAGTAATTATCAGTACAAATCATATAATTTTTATAAATACAAAATGTTAACATTAGAAGATCCAGAATGTAAAGATTTTTCAAAAAATCCAATAGAAGATGAAGAAACTAATGAAACAAGAAATGGTGAAAGTTATGAAAGAGATAGTTATTTAGTAAATGGAGAAATATTAAGAACAGCACTTCTCTCTGCAGATGATGATGATATTGAATCTCAGGAAGATGATGTATCCTCTGAACTTTTGTCAATTGAAAATGATTCTGAAGTTACTAGTGAAAGTACTATTAGTGATTGGGATGATTTAAGAGCTGACTCACCTTTATCATATGTTACTTCTGTACCTAATAATAAAGAGTTTATAATAATAACACAATTAGAATCAGATAATGCATTAATGACAAAAAAATTAAATAATGAATGCTCTTTAGATAACAAGAAATCTAAAGTCCGACATTGTTCAAAACGACGTAATAAAATGCTATTATTAAGAAAACTTATACCCAAACATGAACCAATAGTTGAAATAAAAGAGGAAGAACATTCAATCATTTCTACTGATATAGATGAACGTGTGCCAACCATGGAAGAAATAGATTATGAAGAGTCTTCTATGGATCAAAATATTTTAGATTCCAAAGATCATACTGACTGGCTACAAACTTTAAGACCTTTGCCATTATATTATACAGAAAGAGGTAAACCTTATCTGAAATGTCCAGCATGTGGTGCACTGTTTTTTACTCCAAATTCATTCCAAAAACATTTATATTCTCATATGTATAAAGAAGATGATACTTTTATATGTTCCTTTTGTAATTATACAAATACTGAACCTGGTATGTTATTCACTCATTTATCTAAACATCAAGACCAATGTGAATTTTGTAATGAAAATTTAATGCGTAAGAATAATTTTGAAAAACACTGGGATATCAGAACATCAAACTTTACTATGAAAAGAGATCGTCGCGGAAGATTCGTATGTACCCTCTGCAAACTAGTATTTGATTTATTACCACAATTAGAAAAGCATTGGTTTAAACATGCATGTAGAAGGGAAAGAAATTATCAGTGTAAAGAATGTAGTGGATTATATGAAAGCATAGAAACATTAAATAATCATAAATGCATGAAGTGTCCTGTTTGTGGTAAAATTTATGATAGTTTACATCGATTAAAAGCACATACTATATGGACAAAGCATAATTTAAAGTGTCCAATTTGTTCTTACGAATTTATTCTTGCTATGGACCATGAAAAACATTTAGCATTACATAGACAAACATATAGTTCTATGAAAGATTATGAATATTGCTTACAGGCAGCAGATGGCAAGACATTCCAGTGCAATCTTTGTGACAAATTATTTTATGCCTTACCTTCTTTAGTTTTACATCTTCAGGAAGATCATAATATTGAAAATGTTAAAAAAGAAATATTAAAGGATTGTAATGGGGAACAAAAGGAAGAGTCCATCAGTGATATAATACTCAGTGAATTAAAAAATAAATCTGCAGATTATACTAATGGAAACAATAATGTAACCTTAGCAAACAATAAAATTAAATTGCAAAACGCGCTATGAATATAAGGTAACATTGTAATTTTACAGATAGCAGGAATAAAAATAAATCATAAAAACTATTGCTAAAAATTACTCGTAATAATAAAACTCGTGCCGTTGCTATAAATCACTCTGTAGCATATATTAAACACAATTAAATATGACTGGCAATAAATAACTTATAAATTATAGATAAGTACATTCGATCATATCTGATCAAAAAGTTCTAAAATAAACTGTATTCCAGTTTTACTCTCTCTTTAAGAATAAATATATATCTGTATATTTTTTTAGCAATCATGTAAAATACAGAATCATCTCTTTTACATGTTCAAAATACAAATATCATCATAAAATAAATGACATTATTTTAACAAATATAATTAAGAACTTCGTATGTAATTCCTGAATAATAGAACTTTTTTGATCAGATAATAAAGGTAATTTTTTAGCAGTTTATTAAAATAATATAATCACGTCATAAATTTTCTGTGTTTTATATTAGAGGAAAATGTAATATTAAGTTATTGTGACATTTATATTTGGCTGTATCATGTCTGCCCCAATATATTGAAAAAAGCAATATATAGAGCTATCAGTCCTGCTGTAGCCATTTCTAATTAATTAATGATTATTCTATCTTATTATCTTTGTTATACGCATGATTGAATTGATTTATATAATTTCATTTAAATACATCGATATATTTTTCTTCATATATGTATATATAGTTATCATTCACATAAGCATCTTTTAATTTCTTTTTAAATATAATCGCATAAAATTTCGAGGGTAAACATGATACAATGCAACATTTTATGGCTGAAAAGTATCTGGAACTCGCTGTTCGTCTTAGTTTTATGCATATTGTTAAAATTCGATACAATTATCGATAAATCTTACGGTATATTAATCGTTTATAAGTCTGATTTTTGTAGGCCTGTGTATATATCGCACAATAGCTTACATAAAGAATTAGATCTCTTAACTATCTCATTTGAAAAATAAATATTCATGAATAGTAACATTTTGTTTGTACATGTTATTTTTCTATTTTTTTTTCTTTTTTTTTTTTTTTTT